GGCATGGTAGGAAAGGAAGTAAGCATTCTTATCTTCAAAGAGTGCAATTTTTTACTTTGGGATAGTATTTAATGAATCCTTATCTTTAATGGTTAAAGCAGATGTACAATAGATAACAGTCCTTTTTCAAATATTTTCTGCCAGTCAAAGGCTTACCTTCACTCACATTCTTTTGACAGTTCTCTTTTGCAGAACAGAAATTTTTAAATTTTAATGTAGTTCAACTTATCAATTCTTTCTTTTATAGTTCATGCCTCGGTGTTGTATCTAAAAAGTAATCAAAAAACCCCGAGGTTATCAACGTTTTCTCCTATGTTAGCTTCTAGGAACTTTATAGTTTTGCATTTTACATTTAGATCCATGATCCATTTTGAGTTAATTTTTGTGAAGGATATAAAGTTCTGTGTCTAGATTCTTTTTTTCTTTTTTTGCATGTGGATGTCCAGTTGTTCGAGTACCTTTTATTGAAAAGACTGTGCTATATCCATTGTCTTTTCTCCTTTGTCAAAGATCCTTTTGATATATTTATGTGTATAATTTCTGGACTCTTCATTCTGTTCTACTGATCTATTTGTCTATTCTTTTGCCAACACCATATTATTTTAATAACTGTGACCTTATAGTAAGCCTTGAGTCTAGTAGTGTCAATCCTCCCACTCGGTTCTTCTCTTTCAATATTCTGTTGACTAACAACTTCTAACATTTTATATTCCAGGTTTCTTTTAGAATTTAAAAAAAAAGATTTATTTATTTAAAAATATAATAAAAATATTTGGAGGAATATTAACTTCTAGTAAATAAGAGTGGTGAGCACGTATATGTCTATTTATTGCTATCTGTATTTGACTATATATTTGACATACTTCAAAACTTAAAAATACTAACAAATTTGCTACCAAGATATAAATTATATTCTTTTATTTCAGATAATTCACATTTATTTTTACACATTGATTTTCTCTTTTTACCTGGGCTTCCAGAAAGTTTTACTCCAAACTTAACATCCAACCACGATAAACATTAGTCTTTATAATCAGCACATTTTTGTCCTCAAACTTTTATATAACTTTTCTTTTCCAGTTTCTGTTTTCAAAACTATATGCACATGCATTTTAGAGTGAGCTGCTTTGGATCGTTTTCTGGAAATCAGGAAGTTTATGAGAAATATGCTAATGATTATATGGGGTTGGTTTTCAAAGCTATCTAGAAGTCTTATAGCTAGCCCATATGAGAAAGGAGGCCTACTCATGCTAAAACCTATATTTTTTTCCTCTAGCACAAATGCAGATTTAATCTTGTCTGTAAATTAGCTAATTCTCCACCTATCTTAGTCCCAGAAAATCAGTGGAATGGCATCCCTGACCAGTTGCTGGGCATTGTAAAACTAAGCACCAGCACCAGCTTCCCTACCTTGAGCAAATCAGGTATTTAAATATTGAAAGAATTGCCTTCTGTAAAAGGCAAGATTTTTTAAAGCAGCATCAAAAGTAAAGAAGACAGAACTAAAGCATTGATGTTACTGGCATAGGAGAAGCAATGAGTTAGAGAGGATGAGTTGTGGGAACGAATATTTAATGTCTTAGTTGAGGACAGAAGACCTCACTTATCATTGCATACTTAGAAAATAATTTCCTAGACTCCACTGCCTCACAATGCTTACTCCCCCTTAACCCATTTTCTATAAAGTAGAAGCAGTGATCTTTATAATAATTATTATTATTATTATTATTTTTGTGTGTGAAGAAGATTGGCCCTGACCTAACATCTGTTGCCAATCTTCCTCTTTTTGCTGAGGAAGATCGGCCCTGGGCTAACATCTATGCCCATCTCCTCTATTTTGTACGTGGGAGGCTGCCACAGCATGGCTTGATCAGTGGTGTATAGGTTTGCACCTGGGATCTGAGCCAGTGAACCCCGGGATGCCAAAGCAGAGCATGTACACTGCCACCAGGCCCACCCCCTTCATAATAATTTTTAATCATGTTACTCCTGTAAATAGAGCTTATCACCTTTAGAGTAAGAACAAGATAAACCAAAATCTTTAGTACAGAATTCCAGTTTCAGCCACGACGAAGTAAGAGGACTGGACTTACCCTCCCACCGGAAATGACTAATAAATTAAGCAAAATGTATGAAACAATGGTTTTCAGACTTCAGAGTCAGGCACAGAACACTGATTTTTGAGGCAAGAAAGGCATGAGGTGAGCTCTAAGACGGCACCAGTTTACTTCTTGGACAGCTTCCAGGTGAAAAGCACAGGAAAAGGAAACCCAAGAGAAGCCTACAGTAGCCCTGAGTTGAGGGCATGGGGAGGACAAGGCAACTAGAGTTCACAGGGCAGAGTAAGAGAGCTCTGAAGATCTCCAGATGGACCCTCTTCAGTCTTCAGGTGAATAGTGATCAGCATTTGTGTGTTAGGAAACTACACAAGGACAAGAAAAGCGCCACCCCAACGGAGCAGATGAAGAACAAAACCCGGGGCTCACACATGGCTGAAAATATTTTATGGTCCCACTAGCTAGATTGGAAAACTTCATAATACATGGGCATCTAGTAGAATGTTCAGAAGGTCATTGTCTCTGAAGTGGGGTAAAATTGTCCTAGATTGAAGGCTAGTCTGGTCCCATTTAACAAAGTTTTACAGCCAGTCTCAAAAAATACACACACACACACACACACGTATATGCATATCAAACTGTTTCCTGTTCCAAAGTAATTTATCTGCAATCCAAGGACAGAGATCAAAAATATTTATAGAAATAGAAAAATATCCAGTGTTCAATAAAGTAACATTCCCAATGTCTGGTATGCAAAGAAACAGAAAAACACAACGCTAAATCTGAAAATGTATCAATCATATAAACAGATCCAGCGATGACACAAATGATGTAATTGATAGATAAGGCTATTAAACCAGTTATCCCTTATGTTCAAGAAGGTAGAAGAAAGATAGAACATGTTAAGTAAATAGATGGAAGATACTAAAAAAGGAACAGAATTGTATTTCTAAAGATGAAAAAAACAAAATATTTGAGAAGGAAAATATACTATATGTTATTAAAAGCAGGTTAGCTATTGCAGAGCAAAATACTAGTAAACTTGAAGACAGAGTGTTAGAAATGAGCAAAAAAACTGAAAAAATATTGAAGACAGCATTAGTAAGTTGTGGGACAACTTCACGCAGCTTGGGAGAAGGATGATGAGGGAATAAAAAATATATATACAAAGAAATAATAGTTATAAAATTTCTAAATTTGATGAAAACTATAAAACCATTAAGATCCATTAAGATCCATTAAGATCCCTGGATCCCCAAGTACAAGAACGATCCTTAGCATAGCCTATAAAACCTTTTACCTTAAAGCTTGTCTCTGCATTTGAGTCTAACCATTACTCTCATTTTCAAAAATATACCTCGGTTCTTATTTGTTTTCTTTTTTTTCCCCATATTTTTCCTTATTCTTGGAATGCTGACTATCACTTTATGTGCCTCCAACTTTCTAATAACTCTGAGGGCCAGATCCTCTGTGAAGCCTGGTCGTGACCACCTCCTCTTGGCTGTTCCTCCACCCTACTCAAACAAATGTGCTCTCTTCAGTGCCCCCTACTTATTTGTGTATAACTTTAATCAAATTGTTTTCTTCTCCCTTAGCTTGTGAGCTTCTCTGACTTGTCTTTAAATTTCAAGAATTTAATAAAGTTCCTGGAATCAGTAGGTTCCACCCAGCAAGTGTTTGAGAAAAGAATGAAGAATGTAAGCTCTATGAATCTGTCTTTGTCATCATTACATTTTCAGCATGTAGTAATATTTGGAATAATTGGTACTCGGTTATTATTTTTGAAGGAAGGAAGGAATTTTTATTTGTTAGCATTTGTAAAATCAGAATTATGTCTACATGCTTCCATGTGCAAGACGTTGTTCTGTGCATAGAGACTGAGTAGTGAAAAAGATCCATGAGCTTATATCCTAGTGTGTATCTGCATGCATTTGTGTGTATATGTGTGTGTATTTACGTATTTATTTGGTGATGGGAAAATATACAAGTAAATAATTAAATAAGAAAGATAATTTTAAGTATTGAAAAGCACTATGAATTCAATAAAGCAGACTGATCTGATTTGGAGTGGGGCTATTTTGTATTATAAGGAAATCTTCACTGAACAGGTAATATTTGAACTTGATATTTCTAAAAAAAGGAACTAGCCATTCAAGTTTCTTGGCCAGGAATTTTCCAGGCAGAGGAAACAGTAAGAGCAAGAGTCCTAAGGTGAAAAGTATATGGTATATTTGAGAAAAAGAAAGAAGTGTGGATGGCATTTATGCATAATGAGTAAAATTCACCTGTGAAATACTTGTTAAAATAAAATGTTAAATAGGAACCATTATGCTGTGCTGCCTAAAAGCAAACGTTGAAGGAAATAGCCCCTCAATTCACATTCACCTTGAATATCTAGGATTTTTATTTTAATGACCATTCAGAGTACGCTCTTTGTCTAATAAATTCCATAACCTCAAAATTCCTCACAGCAGCATTTTCATTTTCCTGGTAATTGTGACACCAAACATTAATATTGTGCACAAATTATACAGACTGTCCCTACAGGTTACTGCCAGATGGAAGCTTTCTGGCCCCAAGGCTCTGCTGGGGGCAGATTCAAAATATGCTAATTGGAAGAAAATGACTTGATTGCAATTATCACAGTATGCTGACGAGGGCAAATTCTGGGTGTGCTACATGTAATTCATTTCATTCTGCCCGAACATCATTTTTGACCATTGTTCTTGACAGTTTGAAAAAGGCATGAAATAAGCTTCTTTGTTTTCTGGTGTCTCTAATCACTGGGGAAATAGATTACACAATCAGGGTGGAGAATCTGGCTGGCTGTATGGGTGCTCAGATACATGCATATGGATGCACTTATAAATACAGCCTGTAGAACATCCACAGTGGTGAACTCTATTAACACATTCCCTACAGACCTCGCAGACCTCATTGACCATGAAGCCATCAGGCAGCCTTCTGCTTTTGGTCAGTGTGGCCTATTTGTTCTTCTTTGCAGGTAAGTGCTATGTATACACAAAATGGAATTCTGGACCAGACTAGTTAACATCAGCAGTCATGATGTGACATTATTAATGATAATGATGATAATGAGATGATGATAATGATTATGATGATGATGATAAGGATGGTTAGTCATGATGACTGCCCATCATATTTTTTTTTTTTTAAAGATACTCTGCATCGTTACTTTATTTATTTATTTTTTTTCCCTAAAGCCCCAGCAGATAGTTGTATGTCATAGTTGCACATCCTTCTAGTTGCTGTATGTGGGACGAGGCCTCAGCATGGCTGGACAAGCGGTGCGTTCGTGCGCTCCCGGGATCCGAACTTGGGCGGCCAGGAGCGGAGCGCTCGCACCCAACCGCTAAGCCCCGGGGCCGGCCCTGCCCACCACATTTTTAATTTAGAAGGAACTTTTACTTACAAATTAGCTTTTTTATCACTATAATACTCTACAAGGGATAGTTTTATCCAATTGCAAAAACAATGTTATATCTTATAGGATGAGATGGCCTGTCCTAGGTCACATGGGCCCCACTTGGCTATCCTAGGAGGTCCAAGCCAATTGTATTGCCCTCAGTAGACCACAATTAACAATATAAGATTACACATAAGTTTCTTCTTCAAGGAAACAATTTATATTGAAATTAGAAATCCTCATTTAAAGTCACCTTCAAGAAATTCTTATCTAAAGAGCTTCAACTGCCAGAATTTTCCTGGGAGGTTTCCATTGTACTGAAAGCTTGAGTATTCTTACTTACCCTCTAGGTAAGCAAAGTAAACAGATAATGAGAGAGAGCGAGAAAGAGCTCAGGACAAGGATTCTGAAATTTGACCTCTAATCGTCATTCTGCTACTACATTTTTCTTTAATATTGAACAACTTACTTCCTTTCTTTGGCTACTGTTTCCTCACGTGAACCTTATATGTTCTAAGACTTCTTTCAATAAAAGGTTATGCTTATGTACATTGGCTGTAGAGTCTAAGAGACCTAGGTTTGATTTCTGGCTCTGCCATTTACAAGACACATGTCCTTAGACAAGTTATTTGCCCCACAGCTCAATTTCCTTATCTTTAAAATGGAATTATTAGTATGACTTAATGTATGTAAGATTTAATACAGTGCTTAAAATGTAGAAATCTCCCAGTAGATGGTAGATATTATAAGTGTTAGTGGAAATGGTGGTAAATGATATGATTTTTTTCAATGCTCTCAAAACTGTGTTATATTTTATTATCATAGTAGCATCTTGTTCATCAGTTGACTTGATTATCCTTTAATCAAATGGCTTCTAGATTTTGGAATTTTCTAATTTTTTTCTGGTTTAACATACGTCTCTTTGACATATATTTTTGCCTTCCTTTCTTCAGGTATAGCCTAGTTTTAAGGTAAGCATTAAAGAAGTGAAGAACATGATTGGATAAAAGCCACATAAATCATAAATATCAAATGTAGTGAAAGAGCTTTGTACTGGTCACTTGTAACCTGACTCCCAGCTCAGTTGTGTAGTTAACAAGCTGTGTGTCCTGGAGAAGTTTCCTTCCCTTCTCTGCGCCTCAGTTCTTCATCCATAAAGCAAGACAGTTGTAGTGGAAGAACTCTAAAGATAATGTTAACTGTAAGATTCTGGAATTTTTCTGAGCTGTTGTAATTTATCATTGTTTGTTCTGTCATTGCAGAGGCTGTGAGCCATGGAGGTTCTCGGGTATGTGCTTCTCTCTCTCCTGGGCCCCTTTCTATTACAACAAGAGGTTGTCTGATAATGGTGATCTTGAGTTGGGAAGTACCGTGGCTATTCCATTGAGGTCTTCTGAGTTCATTTGGTTGGTCTGGTGAGAATGTGGAATGATAGCATGACACACTGATTTAGACAAAGTGTCATCATTGGTGCAGATGCATTTTCCTTAACAGTGGAAAGGACTTGAAAATTATCTCCCATTTTTCTTAAATTAGCCAGATGTCACGTTTCCATATAGGGAGTTTATAAGCCATCAAAGCCTCTAAAACAGCACAGTACTTATAAAAGTATGAGGTGAATATCATTTATTTTCCAAATTAGGATAACTTTTGAGTGAAAGTAGTACTTATAATAGATTTAACAAGAAGATAATCATAAACTGAGACTATCCAGGCAATTCAGAACACATGGTTACTCTAGATCTGAGGACCTTGTTCATAAAAGTCACTACAAATGCTTTGTAAAATGCACCTTCCTGCTCCTTACACGTATTAGACCTATCGATTGAACTGTGATCTCTAGGGATGTTGAGGCCTAGGAATCTACGTTTTAAGAAGCCTGACATTTTGGTGCAAAATAAAATTGGAGAATCACAGCTCTGAATTTTACTAAACAGACAGGTATACAGAGAGAGTATTCGCCAGAGTCATAGATATTGAATCCCCTGGTAGCTGGGGTTGGCAATTAGTAATTACAAGATCTACATTCTTGAGAGGGCAATTAATAATAACAGGGTTTACTTTCATAAAAAATAGCTGTATAGCTTAAAATAAAAAAACTATATAGAGAGGCACTATAGCTTATTTTTGGAAACGTGGGCTTTGAGAAAGAGAATATTCAGGTTCATATTCCAGCCCTATTACTCAGTAACTGTTTGATTTTGGGTAACTTACTTTTACTTTCTATGCCTCAGTTTCTTTATCAATAAAATTCAGCTAATAATAGTACTTAATTCAATATTATATGAGTAAATTTATATATATCCTATAAGAGTGTTTAGTGCATAGTAAATGCTAAATAAAAATTAGTTATTAAATCATAACTTTATGATTTAATCTTAATAACTGTTATTTATAATTTTTAAATTATAATAATGTTATTAACTTAATAACTAAGTATTTATAATTTTTTAGATCCATAATTTTACTTGTATAATTGAATATTAAATATTTTGAAGAAAATATTTATAAAGCAATGCAAAGAGAAACAATTGTAGTACTTTTTAAAAATTAATTCATCTACAGACATCCTCCAAACTGATACCAAAGAATATTTTTTCTAACATTTTAACTTTCTTCATATGACTCTCTTACTCCAAAAATCTAGATAATTTCACCTGCCAAGAATATAATATCCAAATTCTTTAGCCTGGCATTCAAGTCCTTTTCCAATCTATTGGCAATCTCCTCGTACAGCCTCATTCATTCTCTACCCACCTATGATCCAAGGCTTTGATCACACTAGATGGCCCGCAGTTTCTAGCATGCCAAGACCTCTCATATGCCTTTGCTGATGCTATTCTTTCATTCTGAAAGACAATTACTAGCCTCTGTCAGCAGCATCATTGAGCGTGATCATTCTCTCATCCGGAAGGACCCTGATACCCCCTCTCATATGCCTTACATCTATGGAAATCTCCTAACAGCCAAATCATTTCTACTCCATAGTCCCCGTGAATGATTTATTGCTGTCTCATCTGCATTTCTATTGGATTTTATTAATATACTTAATTCAACATTTATCATATTTTGTTATGCTTCACAGATAGGCTTCTCTCTTAGAATGTGAACTCTTTAAAGTCAGAGAAAGTGTTTTCTCTCTTTTTGGATCCTAGTGCTTTAATCATGGCACTAATTTCAATAAATATCTCACCTAATAGATGGATAGATGGATGGATGGATGGTTAGATGAATAGATGAATTTACCATCTATGGTTTCCAAAACAACCCAGAAAATCACAATGTAATGGGATATATAAGTTCTAGTTTTAACTCTGTCACCACGTCTTGTGAGATGTTGAAAGAATGTCTTCCAAAAGGAAGTGGACCTCAGTGTCCCCACCTGCAAAATTAGAACATTGGATTTATTACTTTTTGAAAAATGCCCTTTGATTAAATAAAATCAAAAGCAAAATCTCAACAGATAAAGGTGATAGCAGATAAACACAGACTTTCTGTGGTTGAAGTAGGGGAAAGGAAAGGAGGATAGAAGAGGAAAGCACAGAAAGTTTGTTCTCTGTTCTTATGAGGAAAGTTTATAAACAGATTTTATTCCATTCTATCTATTAAATTCTGTAATTACATAATAATGTTTATCCTATGCATATCACCATTCAACAAACTTTACTGAGTATCTGTTATGTTCAAGGCCTACAAGAAATAGAAATATGAAAAAATAATCTCTGATTTTTCAATTGATAATTGCATCAAAAGTCTTAGAAAAGGCAAATTCATACACGGAGATTTTACTTCTAGAAATGTAGCCTAAGTAAAGAATTGAGGATGTACCAAAAATGCATTTATACAGATATTCCTGGCAATATTGTTTGCATTAGCAAAAAACATGGAAAGAGACCAAATGTTTCCAAATGGAGAATTGCTTAATAACTTGTAAACATACAGTAACTATTTAAATAGTACTATAGAATGTATATTACTTGATATAGAAAAATATTGAAAGCATATTTCAAGTTTAAAAAGCCTTATGTAAAATGCTATCAATTGAGTGATCATTTGTTTTTAAATACATAGAAAATGTCAGGGAGTAAATACACAAACTTCTTAATAGTGCAAGTTTCTGGGTAATAGATTATGGATGATTTAAATAAATCCCTCTTGTACTGCTCTGTATTTCTAAAGGTTCTTTTATAAACATGCATTGTTTGTATGTTTGATAGGTAAAGAGATAGCTAATGAAAGCATATTTCAAGTTTAAAAAGCCTTATGTAAAATGCTATCAATTGAGTGATCATTTGTTTTTAAATACATAGAAAATGTCAGGGAGTAAATACACAAACTTCTTAATAGTGCAAGTTTCTGGGTAATAGATTATGGATGATTTAAATAAATCCCTCTTGTACTGCTCTGTATTTCTAAAGGTTCTTTTATAAACATGCATTGTTTGTATGTTTGATAGGTAAAGAGATAGCTAATGAAGAGATCAATGATAGAACTATGATTATATATACACGTATTTTATTATCTCTTTCTTCAAGGAGTTTGAATCCAAAGTAAAAAAAGAAAAAAGGTAAAAAAAAAAAAAAAGTAACATGTTTGCACTATTGAAGATTGGCATCAGATAATAAGTTTGTAGGCATTTTGACAAGGAGCAATCAGTTTTTGCCTGAGGGCTATTAGGAAAATTTCAGAGGATGAGATGGTATTTGAGATGTGCCTCAAAGAAAGATATGAAAGGGAAAACTTATTCCAGAAAGAAGGTGTAGTATTGTGTTGGGAAAAAGCAAAGTGTTTTCAAAGGTTATTAATGGACAAGTTTGGCTAAATTGTTAGGTTCCTCTATGGTTATAATGGTAATGGCTAAGACCATGGGCTTTGGAGTTAAACTGCCCTCATTTGAATCCTGGTTCTACAACTTAATGACTATGTGATCTTAAATAAACTACTCAACTTCTCTAGGTCTCATTTTCCTTATCTGTAAAGTGGTGATAATGATAATATCAACTCTATAGGACTGTTCAATAGAGTTAAATGAATAATTACATTCAAAGTACTTAGTACTGTGCCTAAAATATAGCAAGCACTCAATAAATGTTAGACATTATTATGGGCATTTGGAAAAGTATCCTATATTGCTTAGGATATATAAGATGGTGTGGTGCTGACTTTCTAAGAATCATTGGCAATTGAGCAAGTCAGTTGTAACACTGGTACCTACAATATATAGTCTAAATTATGTTCTCTTTCCCCATTCATTCAACAAATATTTTTCAACATTTGAATTTTACCAGGCCCTGTCCTAGGAAATGGATAAAAAGGTGAATCAGATATGGCTTATTATCTCAAGACGCCTCTAGCTGTGTTCAGGAATGACATAAAAAAGTGGTATAGACAAATTTCTCCAGAAATTCTGAGAAAGAGGTGAAGAATTTATACTTGGATACACACTGATGATAAAGCAATTTGGCAATCAGTATTGGAAGTCTTAAAAGTTATAACCTTTGAGACAGCAATTCTTCTCATAAGAACATATCCTAAGAAAATAATCAGAATGTATACATGTATTTTATACATAAAATGGTCATCCCAGCCAATTAATGTTCAAAAGAAGAAACATGCAATAATGAGGTATTAGTAAAATAAATCATTCCACATATTTATGATGGAGTATTACACCACAAATCACACTTTTCAGAATGTGCATCATGGTATAGAAAAGATAAATGGTAAAGAATAAACAGAAGGTATATATGGTGTGGTTCTGTTTTTAATATTATATGTATGGCAACACAATGCATAGAGAAGAGCTGGAAGGAAAAATAACAAATGATAACAAAGGGTATCTCTGGGTGCTAGGACTACATGTGATTTTCTTTTTTTTTAATTTTCAACATATATTTTAATTGTAATAATAAAATATGAGCTTATAAAAAGAATTTCTAAGCATAAGTTTAGCACATTTTTTCTTTCCTTGAGAGAGCTAATGACATCAATGCTGTTATTCATGAAATAAAAAAGGAACTTCATTTAAATTACAGGCTTTCTGCAGCAACTATGAGAAAACAGTTACAGATGGAAAACTCTGTCCCAAGATCAACAAACCAGTGTGTGGTACTGATGGGAAAACTTACCACAATCCCTGTGAATTCTGCAAAGCAGTTATGTAAGCACACGGAAGCAGATATTGGAACAGTACCCTTAGTTTGGCCCAATAGAATATGAATCAGGGAAATTATTTATTAAGCCTTTATCATGCAAAGTATTTTACAGATAATTCTTATTTAGAATGAGGCAGTGTTGTTATACCCAAACAGACCTAGAAACTGTAAGTACCCTTTCCCAGTTCGCGTCCAGCCTGGGCTTAACCCATTTCCACTGCATTTCATTCTGAGCACCATCTCTTTTCTTTCAGGGGAAGAAATGGAAAGCTTGGTTTCAAACATGAAGGGAAATGTTGATTCCTCTGATGTTACAATGCTGGAAGTGCCTTCGATTTGCCTTTTGCCTCAGAAGATTTATTCCCTGTTACCCAGTCTCCATCATGTGTGTCGCACCAGTTCTTATGCATAAAAGAAAGCAATTTCAATAAAGTTATCTTGGCAGACTTTCTACATTGATGTTCTTTTCAGGTAACAATGGGGCCACCTTTGTTCAATTTAGTTAGCCTGACTGCTAGACTATCTTAGTATGAAATGATAGAATTTGAATACAAACACAGGGCATAGAATATTACCATCCTTTTCAAATTCGGAATTCTCCAATCAATGCTTTGAGTCTCAATTCTTCAGAATTTATGCAGATGAACTCAAGGACAATAAAGCCATCCAAGAAACTATACGTTATCTGACACAAATTAGCATTCTTCAATATATGTTATATTTGGGAAGCATTTTGCCTTAAGGGACACATTGAGTTTGTTTCAGAGCTTCTCAACTTGTGTGCTGAGACAAGAAATAAGTACCAGGAGAGACACAATCTCAATGGTCACTTCAGTCATGGGGCAGCCGAATAGGTTCTGGAACAGCTGAAGCCTTTAGCCTAGTTGTCTTTGGATTTATCAATTTACTACAGTGTACTACATAAAATATTATTATTTTCTATGTGTGGTAAATTGTGAAAAATCTTGAAAGTATGGGTTTATTGGTATGTTGTGGGTGCTCAGAAATCTAAGGATGGATAGACAAGCTCGGCATCTTGAGAGTGTTTCTAGACTATTAGGGGAGACAAATGTATACCAACTAATATAGTTTGATATGCTCCTGTTTAAAAAAAATCCCAGTGAATGAATTATTTTATTTGTTAATTGCACAAATAATTATTCAATGCTTATAATATACCAGATACCACTCCAAGCACAGGGCAAACAAAGACAAGATCCCTACTTTAAAGAATCTTAGGGTTTAAGATTTAAGTGGATGCACAAAAATAAATATTTTAAAAATATATTTTCAATTACTAATAAGTTTATAAAGGAAACCAAATTGAGACATATGATGGAGAAAACTGGGTACAGTTTGGAGAGAGGAATTATTTGAAATTTGTTACTTTGAACTGAATCCTGAGAGCTGAAAAGGATTCAGGCACGTGCAAATTGGGAGAAAAGGTGTTCCAAGCAAAGAGAATGATAAACATAAAAACAACAACATACACACACACACACAAACCTCTGATATGGAAATAAGATTAGCATGATCAATAGTAAGACAAGCCAGTTCATAAGCAGATTTGGGAGCCAAGTTAAAGCATTTGGATATTATCCTAAGAATTATGGGAAATGCTTGAAGTGCCTTAAGAGAAGACTTCATAGAAGAGATGGCATTTTAGCTGATCCATGACAAATGAGAAATTTGCCGGGTGGAATTGGATGGAGTAGCAGGAACATCGTGAAAAATGGTATCTTTGAGAAGATTGTTTCCAAAGTCTCAAATTGAGTATATGACAAAAAGAAGATCAGAACTCAGGTAGGGCACTTCAATATTACGCGCTTTAACATACTACTTCTAAAGCAGAGGTCTCAACAAATGATAAAGAAGCTAGAAGTGGCTTAGGGATGTTTCTTTAACCCACACACTGTTACTTCTTGTCAGTTAGATGCCAATATTTAAAAATTGAAAGAGGTCACATTAAAAAAAGGACTTGTAGAAACTCTTGAAAAATTAGAAGATCTGCACACACAGTGCCCATATTCCTTGATAACCAACAGTTGATTAACTTCTGACTCCTTTAGATGAGTCATTCACACAGTGCCCCAGGATCTGCTTCACTCTTTCACGGTAGCTCCTGATTCTTCATGGTATGTGAGATTTGTATCCCTATTTAAGGCAAAACGATTTTGAGCATCTCATGAAGTACTCTTGATTTTGGAAAATTCAAAATCTAAAGAAGCAGCCACTCCATCAATAGAGAACAATTTCTTTATAGCAAGTTAGTATTTGCCTCTTATCACTTCCACCAGATGATAATACTTCTTTCTGCTTTGAAAGCACACATGAAAAATAGCTTCCTAACTACTTTTTTATAACACACACACACATACAGGCATACGCAATGCACACACACAACTTGGACTTCCCTTTTCACATCCTCTTCCTTCAGATATCTCCTAGACTTGCCTTCCTTCAATAGAATATCATCAGCTGCCTCAGCAAGCTTTATTCAAAATCCCCTGTTCCTATAACAACAGCCTACACTAATGATCAAATTATAAATCTAAATGAAAAAAAATAACAGCTAAAATTCGTTGAGTGTTTTCAATGTGCCAGACATTTTTCTAAGGGCTTTACACATATGAACACATTAAATCTTCGCAACAACCCAACGAGATGGGCATTATTATTGTATTTATCTTACACAAGAGGAATCTAAAGCACAGAAACTGTGACCAGTCACCAAGCTAATAAGAGGCAAAGACAAGTCAAACTCGGGCAACCTGTCCCTTAATGTAGGAATTGGGTAATATTCTTTTCACGGTCTTATTAACAAATTAGTGTCTAAAGTGTTCTGAAGTACCAAGGAAAAGCATAGGAAATAAATATACCTGAGGATTTGAATTGTGATTACTAAATCCACAGTGTTAATTATGAGATATTCAAGGACTCCCCAATATACACTGGCGAGTCATACTAACCATGGTGGGCAGCATCTGATAAACACAAAAAGCCTCCTGTATCGTTTGAACTTTAATATCAGCAAGTGATATTTTATAGTAATTAAGAGATAAAATTTAGAATATGGACTCTGTCACAGTATAGTTCTGTGATATTAGTCTCTGTTTTCTCATTGGAGAAATGAAGATAATAATATCTATATAATAGGTTGTTTTAAGAATTGAATGAGATAATTCATATAAAGCATATGGCACAGTGTCTGGTCCTGGATAAGTGTTTAATAAATATTAGCTATTTTTAACATAGAGTATATAAATGGGAAGTAAAATATTATGAAAAGACCGATGAATCAGGATATGAGTGTGACAGAGATGACATGAGAACCAACAAGCTTTATGTCCTTGGGCAATCTGTTTTCCTTCTTATAAACACTCTGAGGACTATGAGGGCCCACACAACCAGGGTTCACAATTCTAAGATCTCTGAGTCTTCTAATGGAAGAGTCTAGAAAGCAGCCCCAAGGATGGCAGTATGCCATGGCATCAAACGCCATAGGCTGTTCTGCATCTGGTCTGGCCACAGAGTATAAATGGCCACATATACTCATAATACACACGTACATAAATGTGGCCATTTATACTCTGTGGCCATTCAGTTAGATGTCAATAATCAAAAATTGAAAAAGTTCATATAAAAAAACTGCATTTCTAGAAACTCTTGATAGACAAGAATACATAGTAATATAGTAAACAAACACTTGGAAGAGTGAAGCTTTGCCATTGCTTTTGGAATTCCAGTGATTATTTTCTTGAGCCTCACTTTCCCATGAGTAGAATGAAAGTTTTGTGCTAGATGGTCTCAAAGGTATCTCATAGTCTTGATATTTTATGATTTAGTCATCTATACATCCCAAAGTACTTGCATACAGTAGGTATTCCCCAGTGTATGAAGAACTGAAATAAAAGAGCAGTATCCTAAAATCCATGGAAAATGCGGTGGTAGAAATATTAACACAATGTTTCTTAAGGTACTGAACTGGTATTTCTGCTATAAAGTATGTAATATGATCTTTTGAAAAAAGTTAATAGCTATACATTTGTTTTAAAGTGGATTTGGAAAAATAAAAGTAGCCCATAAAACAAATGATATTGGTTAAAATGGCTCTGAAAAGAAACAATTTAAAGATAAAAACATAAGTATTAAATAGAATAGGTAGTATGTGTATCTGCCAAAAAATTGTAGACTTTCTTCAAGCAAGACTGATTTTTTTTGGAAACCCCAAATCAGTTGATTATAGAACTGATTTGTTTGTTTGATTTGGTTATGGCCATAGACATTTTGGAAATACAATAGGATCCACAAACTTGCTCATTAGGAAATGTAAATATATACATACACATAAAATTCTGTTCCACAGAGTAATGGAACCATTTATCTCAAATTAAAAATCAGTATGTTAGAGGATGGTAGATTTCCCTGTATCCCTCCTGAGCAAGGACTTGACCTTGGCATCAGAGATGTAGACTGTTAACCTAGCATTAATATGTGAGGTGTGGGCGAGTATATACTAGAGGAGATTCAGAAATCTCCTCCAAGCGGCTGGACCAAGATCTCTTTTCAGCCCTGGCTTGAACTGCAGTCTTTGTTCTGAACTGCCAAAGACTAATTGATCTCCAATTGAGGGACTCAGAGGTCCATTTCTAAACCAAATGCTTATTTTCCAAGTCGCTATTTCTGGGAAGGGTGTTCCCATGCCTCTGGATATCCAGGAATGGGATTCCTTAGACAAATATGTTAAAATATCTTTATTAGGGTTAACTATGTGAAAACAGTTATTTAATGACCCTGTGCTTGAGTTTCTTCATCAAATATTTAGTGTGTTACCAAAGTATTGTTTTAAGTATTAAATGAGATAATGCATATAAAGTGCCTCAATAAATGGTAGCTATTATAGTTCTCATGGGGTTTTGATTCAATGTGAAGTAATTATTGTCTTGTCAACAATACAGTAACAATTATCTATTGCCGCATAACAAATCACCCCTAACTTAATGGCTTAACACAAAAACAGTAATTTATTTGCCCACAATTCCGCAATTTGGTTGGCTTAGCAGAAATGGTCTGCTTCTGCTCCATATGGTGTTGGCTGGGTGACTCTGTTGGGATCCATGATGACTTCAGTCACATTTCTGATGTTTCAGCGGGATGGCTAGAGAGGTTTCTCTCTTTGTCTTTCTCTGTCTCTCTGTCTGTCACTGTCTTTGTCTCTCTTTCTCTCTCCATAATCTCTCATCCAACCCTGCCAGGCTCTTAAGGTTTAGACCTAAAAATGGCATGTTTTCACACCCATT